AGAATTCAGACAAAGAAGAAAGCTTTATTCTGAAGAGTATTTAAGTTGTGGGTGGTCTTTTATATTGCATTTAATTGTCATTAACCGTTCATGATAGCTGTTTTGGAATCTGGCTCTCATTAAGTGACTTGAAATGCTGTGTAAATTATTTTTAAATTGGGGGAAGGGAGTAAAAGAGTACCATTAGAGAAAAAAAAGGTAACTTACGTGGAGTTTCTTCATGTTCTTGGAGAAACCTCTCCAATATAATTCGGGCCATTAACGAGGGTGCATAGTCCACCTTTACAAAACAGAAGCAGAAAATTAAAACTGTCAAGTTGTGCAAGCAGTTGGTTTTCCAATATTTTGTCAACATTGAAGATTAAGTCAATTTTAATCAACCACAGCAAGCATCATTCATTAAAATCTTTACCACCCTTGGTGGCTTCTATTATAATAAAATTATATCAAATATGATCTATTCTGTTGAAAAGAATAAATGGAAAAAAAAGAAAAAAATAAATGGATCAAATTTATTGAGTACAATAACATTTAAGCAAAAAGAATGGAGCAATTTGGAAATAATATTCATCTTAAAGAATGGAAATAGACTTTTCTTATTCATTATTTTTTTCTGTTGGTAGGCCTATATATTTTTTTCTAGTCATGCTTTTTTCTATGTGTCCATATAATCACACTGTTTGGAACATAATTGCAAATCAAAACTGCTATTGTCATTTAATGTGTTTTTAATCGAATATTTTTGCCCATGAAAAATAGGGATTTTAGTGATTTCGTATTTCAAAAAAAAAATTTCAGGATATATACTTTCCAAATACTTTGACAAAAATAATTATGGTAAGAAATATTAATAAGGTACAATAATAAAATTATCTGTAACATAGGCTCATCATACCTAAGCATGCTACTTATCAGATTAGTTAATTCTGAACCATAGAGGGCAACTTGGAAAAATTATAGTATAAGACAAAAAACAAAGACTATTCACTCAAACAATTACTTTATTAAGAAAAAACACATCTGCTCCTTTGTGAAGATACTGTCATCTTTTGGGCCTTCACCTTTTTTTTTAATTAACCATTGATTTCAATTTAACAGAAAAACTAGATATTTGTTTTGTAAAGAACAATAATGCTTTGCTGAAACAAGCCCTTCTTGGGTAAGATAGCAAATACTCCTCGTGTATTATCACTGTGAATTTTACTTGACAGGTTTTCAAGTTCTGTATTCATACCAAAATTTTATCTTGATTTAGTAACTAGACAAAAAGGCTAGCTTCATTTGTATGAACAGTTTTTTCAAATATGTATGTACTTGGATGCCCTTAAATTCCCCAAGTAGAAAGAAATGCTTTCCACGAAGCTGCTTATTTCTAGTAACCCACATCAGAGCTGACACATGAAAAATGGTGAAATTACTGAAGGTAGTCCAGCCTGAATAAGGACTACCTTATTAGTTCAGGTACTTGCATCTCCCTAATTTTCATATTAATCATGTGTCCATCTTTCTCTGAAATAGGGCCATCATGCTTCATGTCAGACTTTAGCATGTAAGTAAAATTCATAGTGCTTCAAATCTCACTTGAAAACATTTGTGTGGAGGGAACAGAATGACTGATCTTATTATCCCTAATAAAGAGAGATTTCCTAACAAAGTGAGGTTTCCTAAAATGTTCATTTTTTTAGTCTTGAGACAGGAAAAGTAGTATTAAGACATTTATAAAATCAATGATGGCCACATATATTCCTTCTTCCCCAAATTAACAATAACATTGCTCCTATCTAAAATAGTTGCTATACTTACTGTAATGTGCCAATGTTATATATTTCTCATTACTTTTTACAGTTTCTGCTGATTAAATATATATTGACTTATAAAGTGATACCATTACATCAACTGTCAGCACATGCAAGCATCTGTCATGTAAGTACTAACTGTGATATAAAAATGGCAGCTTTGTTGTTTAGAAACCGTAAGCTGGTGCCAGCCATTTCTACATTTCACTAAGTCATTAACAGTCTCATAGAACGCGAGAATCTCTCCATGTGAATCTATGGTCAAAAGCAAGAGAAAAACTTTCAACTATTTCTTTTATTTGGATAAACACTGTTATAAATTCATGGTTGAAAGATAAAAACAGGCTTACTGATACAGGAGAAAATGTTTTGTTGAGTTGAATTTTTCCGTATCATTAATAGATGGAAATGGAGGATGGAGGATAGCTAAATATGCTAAGCTCAACAAAACTATCCATTAAAAATTCAACTGAATATGAATTGCTACTATAAAAGACTTATGTCATCACCATCATTATCCATAAGAGAAACATGTTCGCATCACACTGTTTCAGATACTGTTATCTAGTTAGAACGACATTAGCTCACTTTTTTTTTTTTTCCATAAAGGACAATTAACTAAACTAGTCGTAGCTCAGGTACCTCCAGTTACTAGTAGCTTGAGCATGTAACAAATGAGGCTGGAGACATTTAAAAAACACTTTGCTCTAAAATTTAAGGAAAAAAAATAGTAAAAGGCATGTTTTTCCAGGGAGAGGAGCCATTCTATCAGATTGTTTAGCTACTGCCTGGACTATTAAAACCTTCTAGTAACTGAGAGGTAATTGCTCATTTGCTGACTGCAGTGGTGTACAGCAGACAGAAGCTGTGAGCGAAACCATCCTTCCTTGCTAATACAACATGTGGAACTTACTGCTCCTGCAACACTTAATGCTCACAGCACCGAATCATCTTTAATGCAAACACACATTTTCTGCTTTGCCTCTATGTTTTCCATTATAATGCAACACAAAAACAGTGAACATTTCATTCTATGCCTATGAGGTTTACATGAGCCCATTCCAAGTCAGACTAAATATTGTATTACTCTTATTACGATGAATAAATATTTTAAAGTTTAGGAATTAAATATTTTATTTTATTTGGTATGCCCTCACAACTATCATGAACTCTTTACTGCTTCTTCATTCATGGAAAAGCTTTAGGGTTTCCCTTACATATAAGATGTCTCCCTTAACAGAAGCAAAGAGTTAACAAATATGTTCAGCAAATCACTTAATACTTCGTATTAATAAGAACGCTATGCTTCTTCAGATAGAGACTTTTCTACAAAGCATGCATCCTTTACTGTAACAGAAGTTGTTTCCAACAAAAATGAATATAGTAAATACTACATGTTTAAGGATACCGTTTCCCTCCCAGTTTTTATAGTAATTAGCAAAGATTTCTTTGGCATAGGTCTCTTTATTTGACACAGGTATTTCTCACAATAAATTAAGAAGACATATCTTAAGAACATGTCCTGAACTGTTTAAATTTTCTGCAAAATAAGAACCCAAGAAGCTGTTTATATACTTCCCTTAAAGGAGGTAGGCTAATTATATCAACTGATTTATTAATACATAAAGTTGCTTGTACAATTATTAAAAAGTACAAAGAGACAAGGGAGCAATTTAGATGTCTAATGTACCTCAAAATCTTTCTTTTTTGTTTTTAAAGTTAATTATAATTCTAAGCCAAGAACTCTGCATAGTCCCCTTAGGTTTTATGCAGGTTTTAATAAATTCATAACAATAACATTACCTCATTGGCCAACTCCAGGAGCACTGGGGCAGCTCCATTTTTCAGCACTCCATTCAGATACCTGGACAAGACAAAGCCAAGTGGGTAATGCAGTGACAAGGAAAGGCCAGCATAGGCTTGTCAACATCCCCGGTGTGTGCACGTTTCTCCTGGGTAAATGCCACACTCAACTCACGTTAAAGTACTCTACTGTCATAAGCAGGCACTGAAGGGAAAAGGGGTAACAAAAACAACTTACCTCAAAGCCTTACTGGCAGCTAACCAACTGAACGTGGGAGAAGTGTATGAACACACCTGCCCCTCTTGTTTGTACTTCTTAATACATAAAGAAGTGAATGTAGGTTTGATTCCTAAAGGGACTATCCCTCTGACTCTGCCTTTGCCTATACCACAGATGATCCACGAAATGGAAAAGAAAAAAAAATTGACTTTCTACTTGGAAAACAGAATCCAGGTGACCATCTCTGCTTTACCTCTGTTCCATGGGGCTAGCAGAACCATAAAAAAAATAATAATAATAAATGGTGCAGACTTGTCATGAGTGAGTCACCACACCTTTGAGGGACAACATAAACCATCACCTTATATTCCCTAGATTTCTGTAATAACCCCCAGCTCTCATTCCCCTAACTCCACTGAAACAAACAAAATACTCCAAATACTGCTGAGGCAGGGCAGCTGCGATGATTTCATATTTCTGAATGTGCCATTGGCCTCCATAAGACATTTCAAAAGCCCTGCAATAAGTCTCAAGATTAAACTATAAACACTTAACAGCTCTTATATAGTTCTTTGTTGTCTGTTTTCTATCTACTCTATCAGTCCATCTCATCACTGTATCCCTTACAGACCAGCCACGTGGACAACTCATAGCTCAGCTCATCGGTCACCTTCCTTAGGCTATAACTATCCAAGACTAAGTGGCCCTCATGTGCAATCCAGAAGTCAGTACATCTTTTTACAACACAACATATTGTATTGGCCCAGTTATGCAATGATCATTTCAGCACTTCCTTGTTTCCCTGAAATTGCAGATACTAATGAACCCTATCTATATTATTTTTTCTCTACACATACATTCCTAAGGTAAAGTTTAATTTTTAAATTAGGTCCAGTAAAGGCTTAAAAATAATAACTCGTCATAAAATAAAACAACTATGCAAGCCTACTGTGATAATAAAGTTTCTGAATGTGATTTTTCCCTAACTTTCTTACGGTAATATACTTAGCCTTTCTTATGATGATGATTGTGTGAGTAGATATAATACCTACATAATGAGATATGATGAAATAGGGTAAATGACATAGGTGTCATGATGTAGTGTTAAGCTGTCTTTGACTTCTGAGGATATGTCAGAAGGAAGACCATTGAATCAAGATGGAGCTGACAATGGGTGACTAGAACCAGGGAAAGCCAAGTTGTAGTTAAGGAGAGACCCCTCTGCTTGCTTATCTCCAGTGAATTCTTCATTGCAATGTAGAAAGCCTCATGAGGGTCAAGGAATTGGATTTTATTTAATTTATTATGCTTGGCACAGCTCTTGGTTCATAGTAAGTGATTATATAACACACACTTTTATTTTTCTTAAATAAACACTTAAGTAAAATTTAAAAGCTACATTGAATTAGAAAACAGACTTAAGAATGGATATTTTCTCTACAGCATATTGCATATGCTTTAAGTGAATAAATTCAGGTTATTTGTCTAATAGTAAGAGGCAAAATCAATAGGTGAGATCTTTCATAAAAACAGCAGGAATACATACTCAATGATATCATTTTGTAAATATATGTGTAAAGCTATGTCATTTTCTTTTTTAAAAAAGATTTATTTTTATTACAAGGTCAGATACACAGAGAGGAGGAGCGACAAAGAGGAAGATCTTCCGTCCAATGATTCACTCCCCAAGTGATTGCAATGGTCGGCGCTGTGCCAATCCAAAGCCAAGAGCCAGGAACTTCCTCCAGGTCTCCCATACGGATGCAGGATCCCAAGGCTTTGGGCTGTCCTTGACTGCTTTCCCAGGCCACAAGCAGGGAGCTGGATGGGAAGTGGAGCTGCTGAGATTAGAATCAGCACCCATATGGGACCCCTGCGCGTTCAAAGCGAGGACTTTAGCTGCTAGGCCACGCCACTGGGCCCAGCTATGTGATTTTCTTATAGGCAAAGTGAAATAGCAAAATACTTAAGAAATGAAATTTGCAGAGTAACTATAACTTTAAATAAATAATTAAACAATTAATGTTTCCACATTTTGAGGCCCTTTTGACTATGCTTTATTTTAAAAATCAACTAGAAAATAAGGACAAAAAAATAAGAGGCACTGAAACATTAAAACAAGGTGGTCCTGGAGCAGTAACCTAATGGCTAAAATACATGCCTTGGAGCCACCAGGATCCCACATGGGCACTGGTTTGTTCCAGCTGCTTAGCTTCCCATCCAGCTTCTGCTTGTGGCCTGAGAAAGCATTAGAGAATGGCCCAAAACCTTGAAACCCTGCACCTGCCCGGGAGACCCAGAAGAGGCTTCTGGCTCAGATCCAGCAGTTGCAGTTTCTTGACGAGTGAACCAGCAGACAGATCTTTTTCTCTGTCTCTCCTTCTCTCTGTTAATCTGTCTTTCCAATAAAAATAAATAAATCTTAAAAAATAATTAAAAACTAAGACAAGGCAAATATGGTCTCTGGAAAACAGGTCAGCTAAATCCCTCATGTCAGCCTTCACAAACATTCTGACACGCCTCCTCCAGGAACAATCAATCAGCTCTGGCACATCAGACCAACGAATCATGTGTTTATAACCATAACCAGCACATATTTACTAAGAAATCCTGACTCTGGCTGAGGGTATTTAAGTCTATACCAGTACGAACATATCTTCACAACTTTCATTTATCCTTTAAATTTGAGAAGTAGAGGGATTTGAGAGAAAGCAGAAAGGAGAGAAAAGGAGCAACACAGCATGTGGCTTGGCAGGAGAACGGGAGCCGATGCCACAGCACAGTGTGGGAACTGAAGTGCTCTAGGTCTGCACGAGATGCGGGGAGGATGTACAAACAGGGGGCACCAGAAATGTCTGATTTTGTGGTTTCTCAATATTTTCTGTAATCAGTACACCCTTCCTGTTACATATTGGAAAATTTGAAAAAGCCTAATCTGTCACTGTGATGTGATGGACAGAGTTCCCAGATGGGAGATAACCAACTTAGCATTAGCATTCTGAAATGTTGTAAGATAGTTGGTAAATCAGAATACTTTCCAACTACACTGACAACTCCTTGGGGTGGGGATCATATAAATGAATGCCGAGTCTTCACCCAATAGTTCCCTTACAAAGGTCTGAGTTATAACAGCAACAAGAGGATGGAATCCTGAAGACTGCATTGAAGTGGCCTGGGGTCCACTCCTGAGGCCCGTTTACCAAAAAACATAACAAAGCAAAACAATGATTTTTGTTAACTTTCTAAGTTACCCTGTAGCTTTGTCACAGGAAGACATTTACACATATATCTTACAAATGAAGTCAGCCTTAAAAGTTTCAGAGAAGGCCCACTTCATGAAGTGTTTTGCATGTGAAAACATCCATTAGCATCTAAAATTAAAATAGTGTGTATTCAGTTTTGCATGTAAGGCCAAGTTCTTTGATATTTAATATTTTCAAAATCCCTAATCATCAAACTTCAAAAACCTACCAAAACTTCCATGCGAGTTTCCACCTGAACATCAGCTTTGTTAACTTTACCTCTACACGTCTCTGGAATCCACCCCCATGGCCAATACCACTAGGGTCTCTTTCACCTGACCCACACTAAGAACTGGCTTGTGGGTTCCCCTGCTTCCAAGTACTCACTTGACCATCATCCTTTCACACTATCAAAGAATTATTTTTCCAATATGAAGACATGAGAGGACAGTTCCTCACTTAAACCCTACCAATGCCATCAAGAAACAAACCAATTGAATCAAACCTTTAGCCTTTCCAGATTCACTTCGCCCTTCGAGTGATCTCGTGCTCTGACCTAACAATACCCACGACTGTGCCATCAACTGTTCTCTCTCAGCTTTGGATACTCTCTTAACAAAGTAGCAAAAAACAACTTTTCTAAGCTGTTTGTATGTATTTGGGGTGCCATGGACACCCCACATCAGTAACTTCTGGAATCCCCACAGAACACCTCTGTTTACATTTTGGTCACTGCATTTTGCAGATAAATCTACATAGTTACTTTTCCATTAATAAATCAGGTTAAGGGGAAGTTAAGTGTCTTATTCACATTCATATAGTTGGTTCTAGCATAGAAGATGGCATTAAATGAATGCACAGTAGTTGGAGCTAATTAAACAAGACTGCTAAAATTTTTAGAAACCAAAGTATATACTATTAATATGAGATTTGAACTGAAATTTTATCCACATTAATGTGGGAATGACATTAAATTGATCTTCTGTGAAGCTACTGAAAGTGGTCACTTAGCCAAAAGGGAGATGATAGGGGGCAATATCTATAAATGTTTCTATTGATGGAGACTAACCAATCTGATCAACCACACACACACACACACACATGCCCATGTGCACCAATTCGGATGAATCTAAACATATTTTCTCAAGAATACTTCCTGGGCAAGTAGTAATGGCTCAATTGGCTAATCCTCTACTTCCAAGCACCAGGATCTGACAGGGGTGCCAATTTGTATCCTGGCTGCTTTACTTCCTATTCAGCACCCTGCTTGTGGTCTGGGAAATCAATGGAGGATGGCCCAAAGCCTTGGGACCATGCATCCACATGGGCAGCCCGGAGGAGGCGCCTGGCTTCAGATCAGCTTGGCTCCAGCTGTTGTGGCCATCTGGGGAGTGAGCCAGCAGATGGAAGATCTTTTTCTCTGTAAATCTGCCTTTCCAACAAAAATAAATAATTCTTTAAAAAAAATTAAAAATAATTATTTCCTCATTTGTAAGAAAGATGGCATTAGTACAATGTTGAAGAATAGAGGCATTTTCAGAATGAACATTTGAGCTGCCTTTAAATATACAACAGACCACAGGGAAAATACCCTCATGATTCACACGCCGAAGAGAACATTTCTGTACTGTGATCTGGGTAGTGTGTTTCAGTTAACCATGGTAGAATCATATTAAGAACATGGAATTATTAATTGACATTAATTAATCTCAAAGCTATCAAGAACGTAGAAGGAGGAATTCTCCAGCACGATTAGTAGTAATATAGAGAATTACCATTTCTACACAGCAACTTTGGCAACATAGCAAAAATTTTAAATGTTCATTTTTTTGCACCAATAATTATATGTATAAAAGTGTCAAGTAACTTATTCAAAATGCAGACCCATGCATCATAGCATTATTTATAAATCAGATTTTTTGAAAATATATATAATTAGAAGATGAATGACCAAGTATATGTTTGTTTTTTTCTCATATGATGAAGTAACATGATCAATATCTATCACAATCTTTTTACAAATCTCATCATATACATTTTTCCAAGGTTAAAAGTCAGGATTCACAATCACACATGCAATATGACTTTTCCTGCATAAAAGTCAACTGACGAAAGACTAATTTTCTCTCAACAATGCAATTAAGGGCAACTCTTCAGTCCTTTTTTGCACCATTAGAATGTGTTTAACTTTCACAATAGGAGAACACTGAGTTCATAAAGAAAAACTGTAAATAAATTGCTATAAACATTCTCAAAAGGTTTGCGTGTTACACTATCACACAATTTGCTTTCAGTTGGAAAGCAAAAACTCGAAGGCAATTGAGCTTTAGCAAAAACAAGGACATTAAACCTGCACATTTCACACAAGAATATAGTGAGCTGAACCCACCTGAAGGATCAGCCTGGCCCACTGCTGCCATGCCCAAAAATAAGGGGCAGAGCAGAAAGTCAGGGAACGAGATGCTAAAGTAAGAAACTGGCCAGATTGCTTTCTTCTGAGTCCGTTCATTACAGCCAACTTCCTGTATCTGCTTCTAATGCTCAAACTCAGTGAAATAATAAACTTTCAGATTCAGATAAATTTAAGAACTCCAAATATATTTCTACATTTTCATTATGACCCTACTCTATCTTTATCACTAAGTAGTCAGACTGAAAGACTTTCATTTCTAGCCTAAACCACCCATATACAAAGCAACAGAAGCAAGTTTGTACTTGATTAACTAGAGGGTTTTTTTTTTAAATTACGACTAAGAGAGGGCAGCCCCATCATCTCCTAGTAGTCTCCAAATTTCTAAGAGTACATTGTCTTATAAAAGGATTTATTTTCCTCTACTAAAGTTGCAAGTCTTTAAAATTTGGACATAGTATAATATTTTCAAATAAAAGTCTTGCATTATAATGTTTATAAACAAGAATATGCTTTTCAGTACATAAATAACTTTTCATGCTTTCCTTGAAGCATTTAGATGCCAAAGCAGCTGCAGGCTTCACAGCACTTCATGTACCATTCCTAATTTCATATGTATGATTTAGGTTATGACTTTAATTTAAATGTTAATTTCACCAAGGAGGTTATGACTTTTGAATAAATCAATTCAGTTTTTATAAGGACTAGTTTAGAGAAGAGCTCTCTTAGACACAAAAGTGTGTATGTGTGGTGTCTGCCTGTATTGTTAACAGATAACTGCTACTTAAACAATATTTTAAGATATCTGGCAAAATGAGCAATTCACTAAAAATCGAGTAACTTTTCTGTTGAATATCCATTTTTCAATGGTCGAAAAATGACTTTACAGAAACATGATACCAATGTTTCATCAAAATATTTATTTCATTCATAAAATTTCTAAGCATAAAAACAAACTAAAATTATTGGTGTCATTCTCAACACAGAAAGGTTGATCTGTCAATCTTACGTGTAATAATTAGGAAAGATATTTCAAACAGTACTCTTGAGATATTTAAGAAAACCAACCAAAAATTTCTAATGTAAACCACTAGCAGTTCACAGTATATTCATTTTACAACAACAACACAAATTTTAGTATTAAAAGCAAATCATATCATAAAGTTAGGCCTGCAACACTGAAATGAATAATTATGACACTATAATAACTAGGGGAAAATAATGAGAGGGTTATAAACAGGGAGGAGGGGAAAAGACAAGGGAGGGATGACCTCATATGCATGTAAATCGTATAAAGAAAAAACCCAAACAATTATATATTTAAAAAAACAAAGGAAATATATAACTAACAAAAATGACTTCTTTAGAATGAATGGTTAAAAATTATTTACAATAAATAAGCCTGAAACAAGCATTTCCCCTGGATACCACCCAATGGGTTCAATTTTGTTTTTCAAACACAGCATCCCACTTTAAAATGTGAAAGGTATGCATTATACATCCATGACTTCACTTGATATATACTTTTTTCTCACTTCTAAAAGGATTAATCCAATATATATGATGCAAAGTATAACTATATTAAAATTCATCTTTAATTTATTAACTTGCTGGTTTGAATAACAAACAGAAATTGGTTTGAGAATTTTCACATACAACAGTACCACAGAAACTTCATGAGGAAAACTGGCATTATAAGATAATAAGCATGTGGACATAAGGCACAGACATGTGAAAATATCTGTTTATATAAGAAACCCACTTAATATATATTTCAAGAAGCCACCTGGGATTTCATATTGCTGAGACGTCATCTCACATACTGCACACACAAGTCAAAAGAGTCTTCCCATTATTTTTTAATCTACAAAACAAGCATGTGAAAACTCATTCCAAAAAAATTCAGTTTTAAAATAATACACTTAAAATGCTTTGATATAAAAAATTGTTGAATAATTTAATTTACTCATAATTATTATTACAATTAATAGGTACTATGATACCCTCTAGTGGGGCAGGCAGGTCATACCTCTGGTAATAACTTTCAATTGCTTCCGAAGTATGATGTTTGGCATGTGTTCTTTTAATATGCTTCTGGAACAAAATAAAACAAAAATCTATGTTATGTCACAGAGCAAGTTCAAGAACACGAATGACATTTCTTGGTCCCAATGAGTAGCATGTAGAGCAAACTGAATAATAGCTTGGGGACTTTGGTGGTGTTACGACTTTCTTTTCCTTCTAGTCTATGAAGCTATGCATTTTAATCTCTATTGCCTGGCTGGAATGTCTTCAGACTATACCACAAGGTACAGTATATATGTAAAAGCCAAGAGGGTCATAGTAATTGAATCTAAATAAGTTTGCTTAGGGCTGCAGAGGGCAAAGAAAAACTTGTTTCCTGTTTCACCCTTTGTATTAATTTTCCCTCGATTCAATTCCATCCAAGTCCTCCGCACTCTAGTTTTACAATCCAATTGCCATTTTTAACCAGGAAGAACATTGCTTAAAAACAACTTATTTGAAAACTACAAAAAGTAATTCCATAGAGACTTGCCACTTGACTGACACCTGTCATCTCATGATAAATGACTCCATTTTCTGCCTCTCTTGCCTTCTGCCACTCCAGCACTGGTCATTTATCATCATCTCTGTCAGCAATGGAAAGCGGCACTGACAGTGCAAGTCAGCAAACATTTAGCACATGGAACCACGCAACACAGGGAAATTATTATTGTCAGAATAATAATGGTTTAGCATAATTTATTACAGGTCCACCAAATAAGCAAAGGCTAGATGTTATTAGACAGATGGATGGGTAGGCTTGGCAGGCCTCCACTGAGACGCAGGCGGTGCTTGATGTGGAAAGGAGAACATCCTCCAACCCAATCAGAGAGCTGGCAGTTCAATTACAAAGAAATAAAGGGACATTCATCATTCAATTAGGCACCTGTCAACCCTCACAAAGGAGAAAACTTCTAACCTGGTACTCCTGGGAGAAGATGCTCAGCAGAGTGGCCTGCGATTGACTGGAACAAATAAAAGAAGGACAAAGTTAATTACTGGAGTGCACGGCAAAGAAACAAAAGAGAAAGGAGCTTCAAAGGTAGGCCTGCTGCCCTGTAATCTAACAGAACATGAAAACAAGTGTGGAAAAGTTGTTCCAGATGAACACCTCAAACAAAGGCTTCCTGCTGTTAGGTCAAGGAGAAGAGAAAAAGGGAAAGGGGAAAATATGGATGGTCTCAAAGCAATGATCATATTATTTGGACTTTTTTAAGCTTTAGAATGGCTGTAAATCATATCTGCAGCATGCAATGATGTTACAGGGAACTACAAGAAAGCAGAGTTTATTTCCGTTAGAAATGGTGAGAGTTCAGTTTCAAGAACAGTAGAGGACAGGCAGTTCATTTGTTTGACAACATTCTGAAATTTACTTGGCTAGTAGACAGGCCTCCCCTTCTATAGCTATAGTTCAGTCTTCACTGGAAATAGCACAGCAGCGCTGCAACATGACCACTGATACTGGTGTGCTTTGAAAATAGAAGCTTCCCCAGCAGGAAGCACAGGTCCATGGAGTGTGTCATTCCCATATTGCTGTAAGCTGTATTCATCTGGAAGTCCAAAAATGTCAACTACCTGGAAATGAAGCAACCTGGAAAACCTTTTCCCAAGTGGGAAATTTCCTCTCACAGTTGCTGACATTTGGAAAAGGATCGGAAAGTTTTTTCTTTCTATAAGGCAATCAAGACTTCAAAACTGCTCTTTTTCAAAATACTCTGTAGATACATCCTCTTTGTCCTATCTTGAAAATGATTGTCTCGGATATATTTTCCCATTAAGTGCTATCTGAATGAATTAAACCTTAAATAATTTGACTTTTATGGTATGCCAAAGCACTGTGAATAATTCAGGCTTTCTATTTATGAATGAAAACTGCTAACACATCACAAAGAATTTGAAGAGTGTAAAATAAAAATGAAACTGCATTTGTTTATTCTCTGTCATAGTGTTTTACCTTCTAGGTACCATCATAAATTAGGTTTCTAAGCTATTCCATCTTTATCAATAGCACACATTATTAAAGGACTATTCTGAGAGTCAAAAAGTAGTCTAAACCAACTGAATAGAATTAAAATTCCTTAGAGTGTAATGAAGCCCAAATCTCCCTAAACAACCTAATGAACTATATGTTAGGTATTTAGATACAATAAATAGACCTCTTCACATCTTCAGCAAAATGCATTAATGTTATTATGGTGGCTAAGTTTGAAAAATTGGGATGGAAATAAATGGGTAAGCCCATGACGACTGGGAGGAAACTAAACTGCTAATAAAACATCGAACTTGTAGATATCCAGAATAGTGAGACTGTGACATGGCTGTGGACTTAAGTTTAAGAATAAGCAGTTCAGGGCCCGGCGCGGTGGCGCAAGTGGTTAAAGTCCTCGCCTTGCACGCCCGGGATCCCATATGGGCGCCGGTTCTAATCCCGGCAGCCCCGCTTCCCTTCCAGCTCCCTGCCTGTGGCCTGGGAAAGCAGTCGAGGACAGCCCAAGGCTTTGGGAACCTGCACCCGCGTGGGAGACCCGGAAGAGGCTCCTGGCTTCGGATCGGCATAGTATCGGCCCGTTGCGCTCACTTGGGGAGTGAATCATCGGACGGAAGATCTTCCTCTCTGTCTCTCCTCTCTGTATATCCGCCTTTCCAATAAGAAAATAATAAAAATAAATCTTTAAAAAAAAAAAAAAAAAAGAATAAGCAGTTCAAAGTGAGAAGCCGGCCAGGGGTTGGGAGTATTGCATAAACAGGATGAGGTAATAATGTCGTTAGCCAGAAAGATGTTTTTAAACTACCTAGAATTCTGTTCAGGCAAAAACCTGGACAGAGCATATGAAGCAACCTAGTTTCTGTGTCAAGAGGGTTAAAGAAAAGATTCCAGTTTACACTGTAGATAAAAACTAGCTGGAACTAAAGAGAAAATCACAAGGTAATGATAGGAAAATTAATTGGGGTCCAAAATATCTTGGTTTTGTGATTAAACAAAATTGAAGAGAAGGAATTTAACTTTCTTAAGTAGTCTGTTAGCCAACTTTCTGTTTTGGATGTGCCTAATCTTATGATGTTTGCTGTGAACATTTGTCATACCATCAACAGCAGAAGAGAAGTTCCAGTTGAACCAAGACATTGCTGCCGATGTACATCACTGTTCCTTCCAGAAAAGATGAGATGACAGAATAATCATCTAACTTCAAAGTCACAGCTCTGAAGAACTTGGTGCTTCTAACTTTACCCTTTACTCTACCATGCAACTGTTCTTATGTTTTTAAGCAGTATGTATGTATGTATATTTATATTTGTCATCTGCAGGGACAGGGATTCCTCCCTCCATGCTCATATGCCTCCCCCAACACTGTTTACTCCCATATTATCGCAGTGGTGTAGTTCTTCAGCAACAGTCACAAGTCCATTATTCTGCAATTTAGTTTATTATGGCATTGTAGGTATAGACAGTGGTAGAAAACCCAGTATTCTATTGTCAAGGTATCTTAATAGTATCTTTGGGAGTTCTTTTATTCAGGAGCAGAGATACATATTGCAACCTATCTTCTCTTCCTGGCATGATAGTCTCCATTATACATTTCATCTTTAAGAATGTATGTATATAATTTTTTAGCAATATATCTATTTATTTTGTATTTTCATGGAGGATGCCTTGTATCAGCACTATAGATATTTGTCTTTTAGGGTGACTATCTTATTTCACTGAGCATAATAATCTCTAGCTGGGACCATTTTGTTATAAATGGTATAACTGAATTCTTTTTAGTGGCTGAGTAGTTTTCTGGTTCTTTGAGAAAGTTAACAAAATAGGTTCCCTATTAACTAAACTAATAAAAATAAAGGAGTTATTGACTGTAAGAAACAGTCAAGGATTAAAAGATTGCAGGATAATTTCCATTATTCTCTCTGCAACCATGATGTATTTTCACAACATACAGTGCCTCAAGTGTCTATCTGACTGCATGTGTTTCTCTGGTACAAATGCTATTTATATCTAATGAACTAGTTTTAAACTCTTACCTGAACAAGGTAAACATAAATGACCCTATCAATTTTCTCCCTAGAAGACAACATCATCTACAGGTGTTACTTTTATAATATATAGTTAGTTATAAGTATGTCTACATTTATGCCTATAAATCTATAAAATTATGCATATTCTTTATAAAAACCCAAAGGTCCAGATCACTATTTGTGGGACATATTTGAGAGTATAAGAATGTATCTATAACATGCACACTTAAACAGGAATACATGAGTGCTTTAAACATACTTTTTTATAACGTGCCTTCATTATATCACATACTTAAATATTTCTCCTTGCCACTAAATATGCTTTACATGGCATGGAATATAAATCGAGGCATTAATAAAAATAAAATGATGCAACCATTCCAGTCAACAAACACATCAATCACTAGTTTCCCATCTCTCAAATGAACTGATTGTTTTATTTATTCTTTTCTCACTTTTCTTTACAGGTCTATCACCCAAGTATACATCCTGAGGTTCTACAGGTGTTTTACCTGTCTGTAATTTTGAAATGTGTTGCAGTGTGCATTCTTTTGCATCAGCTTCTTTCACCCAGCAATATGTGGATGAGAGTCATCCAGGTTAATGTTGGTGCAGTTAATTCATTTTATTGCTACACGGTATATTCTAGGGTATGAGCATATGCCAGTTTTATTTATTCTTCTGTTAAATATTGCCGCTGTGAACTCACTCCTCCGTGAGTTCCTTGGTGTATATTTGTATATGTTCCTGATAGTATAAATGTAGGAGTGGAATCCAATGTCATCTGACAAGCAAATCTAGCTTCCAGAGATCTTTTTTCCCCAGTCCATGCTTGCCATTTCATTCTCTCTGTGCTGTCTTTGGAAGTACAGAGGTTTTCATATCAATGATGCTCTATTTATTAATTTTTCTACTTCATTTTATTCTTTTTTTTTAGGTTTTGTCTAAGAAATACTCACCTGTCCATGCTCACAAAAGTATTTTTATGTATTTTCTTAGCAAACCCACTCATAATTATGACATTTACATTCAGGCATATAATTTTTCTTGAATTAATTTCACATGTTGGGACAGAGGTTGAATCTGAGTTATACTATCCTCACTCACAAATAACTCACCACACACCATTTGCCCACCAATGTGTTTTGGTGCCTGTGGAGAAGGCAAACATCTGAGAATTTACAGTAGGACGTGATAACCAGTTCCACTGATATATTTATATATTCATCTTTATATTAGTATCATACCATTTTGACTGCTATTGCAAAACTACATATATTTAATCACATGAGAAAGATCTTACTTTTGTTAGTTCATTCCTCAAATGGCTTTATTGGTTGGAGCTGAGCCAATTCGAAGCTAGGAGCCACTTTTTTTTTTTTTTTTTTTTACTGGTTTCCCCCATGAGAGCAGGGTCCCAAGGCTTTGGGCCATCCTTCACTGATTTCCCAGGCCATTAGCAGAAAGCTGGATGGGCAGCAAGCAGAGAGGTTGGGATATGAACCAGCACCCATATGGGTTGCTGGCACTTGAAGGTGGAGCATTAGTCAATTGAACCATCATGTCAGCCCCTATATCTTAAATCTTACAAGAGATTGTTATGATTCTGTTGAGTCTTGGTTCATTAAATGTACTCATATACATACTTCTTAAAACCACATATCTGGCTTATCTACTCCTTTACCTGATTTAAACATTTTGTTTTTATCTGTAGTTTTCAGTTTGAATTGTAAAATTCTGCTTGGCATCTGTTATACTTAAGTATGTGACTGGGCACCTTTCAGTATTTCAAGGCATTTCCAATTATACTTTCACCAAGTATTGCTTGCATCATATCTCTCCCTGTTTAGAATCCAAACAAATCTTTCCTAGGACTCCCTATGGCATCTTTTGTCTCTTACTCTTTTGTCTCTTACTCTCATTAAATATAACATGTCTTTATTGTGTTATG